GAAAAAAGTTACATATGTTTATCACTTTAATTATTCACAAAATCTACAACCACTGCTGGAAAAATGAATGGTATGATCTTGTTAGGGGTTATCTATATGTCATATTTATACAATAAAATTTGCAGGCAACTTTAATAGAAAAAAGTTACAAATGGTTAAAATGTGTGAAAATCTGGCATTTATAAGCTTTTTTGAAGGGGTGGGGGTAATTTGAATACATGTTCAGTGTCCATTATATTGGCCATATTGGTTCTGATCAAAGCATACTCATAACTTTACCATTGTTAATGAATAAATGCACATTCAATTTCAAAAGGAATTTTATATTCCTCACAAACGAAACTTGGAAAAGGGGGGGGGGTAGGAATCACCTTGTTCACCGATCCATATGTATGTAAAATTTTGACTTGTCCATAACATTTCAATGAAGTGCCACTGAAAGTTCATACTTGATATTAAGATTGCTTGCGATCGAGAGATGTGTCAAAAACTTGACTCAAGGTCATTTGAACAAGTTCAAGGTCATTGGTAGAAGAAAAGTGCAACCTTTGCCCTTTCTGTAACATTCTAATGAAAAGACTTGGTTTCATCTTGGGAATTATTTTTAAGCTGTAGGTTTGTCATGACCTTGACCAAAATTCATTTGAACATGTTTGCCCTTGACTCAAGGACATAGCTTTTTCAAGGTCACTGCAGTAAAAGTGTACTATATGAGTTTGGCACATTTACATATTTAACTTCGAATGAAGGGAAATTGGAAGTTTGTGCTCAACACAACGGTTTTACTACCTATGACTTGAGTATTTGTCATAGTCATTTTTGGTATGTATATCTGCACTAGCAAAATTTTAAAAGGTTTCAAATTAGTATTTAGACCTTTTTTGTAATAAAAAACATTTAATGCAATAGCAGGAGGGTTGGTATCATTTTATTAGCTTGCTCACAATAATTCTTGTTTATGAAAGAGAGTCACTATGACAGCTCACATAATTATAAAGTAAAACCATGTCAATCAGGCATGTAGCATCAGGTTTGGGTTGGGTAGGGGGGATGACATCCCCCACCCAACTTTTTTCTCAACGTACCCTAATGTTTAACCACACCCCCCTCCCGAGTTTGTCTGTTTGTCCTTCCGTCCGTCCGTCTTTCTGTCTGTCTTGAAGGCTTTCGTTTCCACACGATATCTCGAGAACCCTCTTAGCTTTTGCAATGAAATTAAGCATAGCAACAGTTACTCCCTATGGACTAAAGAAGAACTCTATTGATTTTGTGGTCAAAAAGTCAAAGGTCAAGGTCATAAATAAACAAATTCTGTCTCTTATAACACTTTCCTTTCCACACAGTATCTCTAGAACCATTTGAGCTATTGCAATGAAATTTTACATAACAACTCCCCGTGGCCTTATGAAGACCCCTATTGATTTTGACGTCAAAAGGTCAAAGTTAAAGGTCGTAAATTTATACATTCTCTCTGTGTGTAACACTATCATTTCCGGGCGATATTTCAAGAAGACTTTGAGCTTATGCAATGTATTTTATACCAAAACTCCCTAGGACCTCTCTCAAAGTATCCCGCCCCGTTTGTTTTATTAGTATTTATAGTATTACATGTCGCTATTTTTAGCACAGGGGCATGAGGAGTTATTGCGTATAAAACAGGTTCTCGGCAGAATTCATATTCCTATCACATCTACCAGAACTGTTTAATAAAGGTTGAATTAGACACCATGTTTTGTGTAAATTTTTGACGATATCAAAAGTGAATATATCCATTTATGTGACCTCATATTTGCATATAATTGTCGAAATTGTAAAGTAGTTCCGTGGCGCAGTGGTATGTCTCCCGCTTCACATGCGAGAGGTCACGGGCTCGATTCTCGGTCGATCATTTTTTTCTTTTCCGAAATTCTTTTTTTTTACTAAATGATAGTATTAAGCATGTGAAATGAAAAAAATTATGAGGTCTAGCTTGTACAAACTCATGATAAATAATCCACATAAAAAGAATCTTCAATATACACATGATCAAATCATTATATCAATATTGACATATTTTTTTTTGTTTCAGTATACATGTATACATTTAAAAATTCTACAAATTCAATTAGGGGGATCCGACCCCCCACCCCACCCCACCCCCGCCCCGAATTACGCATGGTTTACTTTTTCCCTGAGCGGGGTACACAAATTCTCTGAATTAGCTTGTTAGATTTACATCAATAAAAAAATGCTAACAGACAAACAAAGAATGTTACTTTTGGATTGAACATTTTTATTTGATCCACTTTCATGAATACACTGTACAATTTATGGATCTATTTTCTGGATTCCTGAGTCTCCGGTAACACTATCCACTCACTTCCAGCATCAATGGTCTGTACTGTAATGAAGTATTCTCATAATGATAATCTGAAAAAGTGATAAAATTAAAATGTAATAATATTATACAGCTTTGTCTTCAGATACTTACTAAGAACCATTTCTAGTTGAGCTTGAGCAATGATGATGAATGCAAAGCATGTTTATTGGAATCAATTAAATTCCAAGAGATCTCAATGGTTTAGTTTATCATTTTATTTTAAAAAGTTAACGTTTTTACTAAAAGTATTATTTACACGTTTTTCCTGTCTAATTCTATATCGGCTCATCCAATTCTGTTTCTGCTTCTTTCCGAGTTTGGCTTCAAAGTGGCGAATTTCATTCTAAAAACAGAAGTATACAATACAAAGTTGAGACGGTATTGATTTAGATATTCTTTAAATTTATAAAATTGTAATAAAAAGGTCAATTGGTTCTAGGTTTTGTCAAAACTCTAAATTGTGGTTTTCATTTCTTTCCAATAACCCCCCCCCAACAAGAAAAAATAGAGTATAGAAATTCTTTTCAAAAAATTATGTGCTGTAATTCTAATGATGCTTATTATTTGAACCTAGTTGACTTAAATTAGTTCAGTGGTATCGGTGAAAACGTTAGCTGAATATGAATTTTCTTTCATAAGTAAACACTGGATGACATCAGCAAAAACCTTTTTTTAATTTATTATTTTACTGTGGTATATATACAATTCAGTTACAACTAGTCCACTACATTATATACTTGTCTGTATCACAATACTTCCAAGGTAATCCCCTTTCCTAAACTAAAATATATTTAGTACAGAGTTAACCCCCTGCCCCTTTTTCTTTTTTTACGACGTCATAACAAAAGTCATTCCATTTTACAAATATTTCATAATAGTGTTGATTTTCATAAATTCATAACTTTTAATGTAAAAAGCAGGTATTATCTTAAATGGTAAATAAAGATATCTATTACTATATACAGAATTTTTATTTAACCGACCATCACTCAAGTTATAATCATTATAGCTGGTGAGTGACTTGGTTACACACATGCTGTGAATACAACAAATCAAAATTAAACTAAATTCAAATTAAACTTTATAATTTGGGATACAGTTATGAAACTGATCATGACCAACTTTTTCACGTTCGGCCCGCAGAAACAATCTAAGTTGGGGAATTTAATTTCATTTTATCATATTCTAGTTTAATATCGGCAATGTTATCAAGGAGGGGGAGGGGCATACCCCCTCCTCTTGGTTCCTCAGGCCATGCATAATCTTTTCTTTTTAGTTATAAAATACTAAAGTAATGCTAACATATATAATCAATCAGAATTAAATTGAAATGTGCAAAAAAACACTTGCCAAGTGTTACATATTTTCCTGCATGGTTAATTTTTGTTATACATTTTTCAGAAACTGTTGTAATGGTAAATTGTAAAAAATTCAGTCACTAACCGTAATTAAGACTCATGAAAACGCCAAAACTGAGGCTCAGACTGCTCCAAGTTTGTAATTTTCTTCTAGTCTTCTGTACACTGTTATTGAAAACAATGTAAGCAAACTACCGTTTATTCCTCCTATATTAGAGAGCTATACCAAAGGGAGGTAATTTGAAGCAAAAAAGACAGAAAATTATGGATTTAAATCAGTTATCATATATAAATGCTTTAGTTGCCTGCAGATTTTTTTCTTGATTCTTCTAGGACAAATACTGTTTAATATATATTTTATGTTGATAAGCTTTAATGTGGTTGTAGATTTCTTTCAGAGTACTGCAAATTTGCTGTTTTTTAAATCAAAATAAACCTCCAAAAACTAGTTTTATTTATCAAAAGGTGAAGAGAATTTCAATAATCAACAGTTGTTAAAATAGAGTATTTTTAGATAAATAGAATAATAATTTAAAAAGCTTTTATTAATGACTAGTAATAAAAAATATTTGTTTAACCATAAATTCAAGTGTCATGATAAAGTACAAAACACGCTATTTGAAAGGCGCGTGGTTTCCATAGCAACAATGGGAAAAATTATTTTTGGCTTGCTTTTTTCTATTATACCCTTTGTTCTGAAAATTTATATATGAGTTTTAACCAAATCTGTTTCTATGCCACTTTCCACATTTTTAACTAAATGCTCGATGCTTGCTGATTTTGACTCTTAATACCCAGGAGCAGAGAAGAAGATTTTCAAAGAAATAATGCATTTTCACTATATAATCTATAGAGCCCCACCCTAGCACTTGAACCCCTGACCCTGGGGCCATGAATTTCACAATTTTGGTAGAGAACTCAATGCTCATTACATTCATGCCAATAGTTTGCCTGCTTGATGTCCAGGAGTAAAGAAGAAGATTTTTAAAGATTTCATTAATTTTTGTGGTTTTGGCCCCACCCCTCAGGCCCCAGGGGGGCGGGGACCATGAAATTCACAATTTTTGTTCCCCTTCACACATAGATGCTGTATACCAAATTTGGTTGAAATTGGTTCAGTGGTTTCAGAGAAGAACTGAAAATGTTCAAATGTTAACACACGACTACGGACGAAAACGAATAGCAATAGGTCACCTGAGTTACTTAGGTGACCTAAAAACTCGCTTCAGCCTTCGGCTCAGGTGAGCTAAAAATATAAATTGTAAGATAAAATTTATGTATTTATTTAATAATGATTTTCTGAAATAACAAGTCTTTTATAAAACATTTTCTTTGTTCTGCAAAGTGAACGGATTGAAATAGTGACCATGTACACTGGTGACTCTTGAAATCTTTACATCGCAGTTGTAAATGTTGATCTTTGAGTTCTGTATGTGTACAATACTCAGTATATTTCATATACTCTGAAATTCTTATAGTGGCTACAAACACAGCAAATGTTACTTCCTTCTTTCACTTTCATAAAAGCAGGCCTTGGAATGTCTTCTACAATTCTGATGAGAGTACCATTACTAGACAATATATGGACATTATCACTTTCGTAACCGGCTACATAAATATTGTTCATCTCATCCTTATCAACACCACGGGGTTCCCTAAGCTTTGGACTGCTATATTTCCACAGTTGTTTTCCTTGCTCGTCCATGGAAATCACATCACTGGTATATACGTTACTAAATACAATGTGCCCATTGTCTGCCACAACTACATTTATAACTCCTTCTTCTACCTGATAGGAGTGAATAAGGTTCCCTTGCATATTATACTGTAGAATTGCAGTTAGACAGGCAACATACAGAACCCCTTTCAAGACAGAAATACCAAACGGGTTTAAATTATTTCCAACTGAAAATTTTCTAATAGTGGTAAATGTATCACTTGAAATAATATTTACACAGTTTTTAGTGTAGTCAGTCACATATAATTCATTATCCACACACCGTACATCAAAAAGATAACTGTTGGATTGGAACGTTTTGAGAAGTGTTGAATTATCAGTGGACAAAGAATACTTAGCAAGGCCAGTTTTACTTGAACTGTAACTTGCTACAATGAAGGTTCCATCAGGAAGAAAAGTGCCTCCATAAATATTAGGATTCTGTATATCAAAATCATAAAGAAGCAAAAAATGTGCATTTAATAAGTCTATGTCAGAGAATGGGTTTCTTCCATATTTTTTTACCTGAGGCTTAGAACTTAATACTGCATTTCTTATCTTTTCAAGTTCTTTTGCTGCATTTGATTCGACCTTCAGTTTGAGTTCATTCATGCTTCTATTAATTTGCTTTTTCAGCGTCTCAATATTTCCTCTAATTTTCTGATAGTCCTTCATGAAAGAAGCACCTTTTTTTACATTTACTTCCTGGAGACTTTTTAAGCAGTGCCTTGTAAATTGGATCCTATCTGAAAGAGAACCAATATTTTTGTTTAACATTTCCCTGCTCTCCTTCATAGCTTTGCTCAATTCATCTTGATGCTCACTTTCAAGTTTGTCTAATTGTTCAATTATTTCTTTTTTCAGCTTCTTCGTTTCTTCCGTTATAAGATCTGAAGTATTGTCTATCTCACTGATATTGTCTTCATTATTCTTTTTTGCCTCTTGCAGTTCCGTTTCATATTTTCTCAATTCTTCTTGCAATGCTTGTATATTATCACTTTTCTTTATTTTCTCCGCAGCTTTCTGTATGTTGTCGATGCTGTCACATTTTCTGTGCTCCGTGCTGACACAAAGAGTGCAACATGGCTGACTATGATCATTGCAGTATAACTCTACCTTCCTATCAGAATGTTCTTGACAATTTTCGATTTTTACTGAAGCTGATGTCAGTTGCGTAACTGCATTAGGATCATCAATGGGAATAATTTTGTGTGTGTTTGATGCTCGGCTTCTTCTGTGGCTTTTTGTACAGATTCCACATAAAGAATCTTGACACGTCAAACAAATATTCGTTGCCTCTTCCTCTTCACTTTCTCTTTGACACGCCGAACATAATCTAGATTCCATTAAGTCGTTCCATTTCTCGAGCATTTCACACATTGGGAAATTTTCAGCCCAGTTTTCTGCTTTGTCGCTGGGGTCTGGCGATGGAATAAATTCCCTGCAAAGCGGACATGAAAAGCCAATGGGCGCCTCTGTAGATTCACACGAAGTCACAATGTAAGACGATAGACAACCTTGGCAAAACAAATGTGAACAAGGCAGATATCTTGGTGATCTGAATTTTTCAAAACAAATGGAACATGCTTTAAGGTCATATTGTGAAGGTGATGAAGCCATGTTCTGCTATTCTGAGAAAAAAATAACAACCGAAAGTAGACACTAAGACAGCACATCACAAATGGTCTCTCTTTTTAGAATATCGATCCCGATCTAAAATAAGATCTTCTGTATATCAACAAGAAACAATAGAGCATTTTACTGTTTTTAACAGAATAGCATATTTGTGAATATTGTACAAATTTGTGATAAATACCTAATAGTTTAAATAGTACTTTTAACACTATTATAAATATTAGATAAATCAGCCTTATCAATAAAATTCAATGAATATAATAATTATATTCTTCCGACAAGGAAAAATAAATATTATACAGTAAAAAAAGAAAAATATGTATTTTGATCTTTATATCGTTATTTACCCTTCCAAACTCTTTCAATGTCTACTGTAACGGCATTTTATCCTCCTACACTGTATGATGTCATAGGTTTTAACAAATTTAAAAACGGTTTGTGATATTCATTTAAAATCATACACAAAAGAAGAATGTTTTTTCTAAGAATAATTTTCAATTTAAGGTTTAAAAAATATGTTTAAGCAAAAGAATTTCATTATCTTCCGTTTATTAATTAGTCTTTCTTTTAAAACTGCTGACAAGGGCAATAAGTCGAGTCATTCTCAGATGTCTTCATTTAGAAATAAGTTTCTATATTGTACTTCTAAGTTTCAAGAACCGTGGCATTTAACTATTCAAAAATATCTTATACATGTACATGTAGGTAGCATGTACATATATGTTGGATTTTTTTTTCAAGCGCAGAATTTAGCTGCAGAACTACAGAAGCGTATTGGGGCCGCAGCAGTATCTTTTATCGATTTGTTTTTTATGGGGCGCCGTTTCGGTATTTACTGCCAAAAAGTAATATCACCCTTTTTACAAATTATCAATTTGTTTTTACAAATTACAAATTTGTTTTAACAAATTACAAATTTGTTTTAACAAATTACAAATTTGTTTTAACAAATTATACTAATTTGTTTTTTTTTAACAAATTAATCTAATTTGTTTTAACATATTAATAATTTGTTATAACAAATTGATAATTAGTTATTAATAACAGATTCTGGTGCGGCCCTAATACGCTTCCGTACATAATACAGTTCAGGGGCCCGTTTTACTAAAGAACTTATGACTAAGATAAAAAAAACTTCCGATGATTACCGGGTATAAAATTTTGCAAAATTGATAATTTTTTTTAAAATTGTTTGTGTAAAAATATCTTAACACATTCCTTTTAAGGAGTTTGAAATAATTTTCGATATAAAGTTAATTAAAAAGTCATGTGAAGAAATAAAAAACTTTATTCGGTAATAACCAATATTTGCCCCCCCCCCCCCCCCCCAAATCAAACTTTGATGGAGATATATTTAATTAAGTTCTTAAACAGGGGAGTATATGCTGACTTCAAAGCACTGAATATTTTCATAAGTAATGACGCCGTATGTACGTAATGACGTCACAAACATGACGTAAAGAGGTAAAGCCACGAAGTGCGAAAATATGCCCTGTCACCAAAATAAATGAAATTTTATTCTGTGATAGTTTAGACTTTATGGGTTATAACACAATTTATTTTTTAATGATATCTTTCCAAGTTTTCTTTTTATAGTCGTTTGAAAATGGTATTGTTTCAAGTAAAATCTATATACATGTATAACGTCATGACTTTTGACGTTATTATATATACGCCTGTATATTGTAACGGTATGACGTTAACATTATTCAAATGAAGGTTATTATATCTATATTATCGGAAGGGGGTCCGTTAAAATAAACCCTACCTAAGAATTTGGGGAAATTTTATCATAGGACTGTTAAGAAGTTTTCAATCATGAGTAAAATAGCTAGCCAGTTTTTGCTTCGATAAAAAAGTGTCTAAATACAATGTACTGTAATATTGTCCTGTTAAATCGAGAGCAACTTTTTAAAATGAGAGAAATTATTAACGGTGTAAATATTAGCTGTATCCACAGTATTGATTAATCCGTAAGGTCATGAAACAGCTGTGAATAGATTATAAAGTTTTCAATTATTTCTTTTTTTTGGGGGGGGTGAAATGATAGTATAGACTGTTTTAATATCCGGTGCTACTTGTGTGATCATTCAAAAACACAAGTGCTGTGCGTAATTATAATTACCATGTGTATATACATGTACAAGTAATTATTACCTATAATGTGTAATTGTATGGACTTTTGAGTAAAAATAATATTTATTCATATATCCTCGGACTTGCTGTACATATGGAAAGATATAATTTTGCCGACGTACCTTCACACATTTTTTATCATCAAGTCTTTCATGTATCCCTTCGGTACATAGAAGCTTGAGGGTAGTGTATATTGTTATGCATACAGGAAATTCATTCGAGATTCTTAGTCAAAGACATTTGACGGCACTTGTTTTGATAAATTGTAAATTAATTACCAAATCTTTAACCACTTTATTAATTAAACATCTTTAAGTATTGTTCATGAAGTGAATGCATACCGCTAAAAGATAAACAGGCACGGATCCCGAACATTTTACCAGGGGGGTCAAACCCAGTCAAAAAATATACAACCCAGAAATCTCTTGTCATGCAAAAAAACAAACAAACAAACAAAAACAAAACAAACAAAAAACAAAAAAACAAACAAAACAACAACAACAGAAAAACCCGAACAAACAAAATAAACCCACATAAACTCCTTTTCCGTGTTTCCCCATCGTCTCAAAACACGGTCCGGAGTCCGCATACAGCTGTTTCCTCCAGAATGGGAGAGTATCGTGCATTTTGGTATGCATATATGTATAGATGTTTTTTTTTTTTTTTTTTTTTTAATTTATTAATATTTTGGTAGAAATACTTTTATAATTCCAATGGCATTTTCTTTTACTTAGAAAACATTGAATTGCCGCACAGGTAAATTCCGGAAATGAAAAGAAAATTATGTCGGAAATGAAAACAAAAAATGTCGGAAATGAAATAAAAAAATGTCGGAAATGTTATGCATATTTCCGGAAATGAAAAGCATGCTTTACAAAGGGATAGTATCAACCAATTGGTTGCGCTTCACTGACCGCATGCACCTGTGGCGGTATATCGAGATAATTGACACTTAAAAATGGACGTTTGTTGTGAAAACAGGGTGGCGGATGGCGGTATAAAGAGAATTTTATATAGCAGGAAAAACGTTCTTGGGAAATCATGGCGGTATTGCGAAAATGGCGATGAATCGAATGGCGATAATTCGAGAATTGACTGTACATAGATAAATTCTCTTCGTCAGTTTTTCACTTGTAAAAATTGATTTTTTTTCGATTGATTATGTACATGTAGGTATAATTTCTCTGGATTTGCCCTTGCATCTACCTCCAACTAACTGACGACCTGAAGAATAGATTAATTATGAAATATTTGTAAAACCTACATATAAATATTTAGAGCACATTGGAAAGGCGTTGCGAAAATATTTTATAAATACTGAATTTTAAGACTCAACAATTCTGTACTTTATATTTTTGCCAAATGGAAATGTATTTGTTTGAAATATTTATCATATGAAAATATCAGTATACAGTATACGTATGTAAATACATCAATATCCTCAGTGCGAAGTTATGCACAGCGTCATTAATAACAATAATTTATTTTGCTTTTGAAGCAGTATGAAAATTTACTTTTGTACACCTGCATAAAATTATCTCAGAAGATTATTTTTAAAAGTAGAATAGATCGATGGCTGATATACGTATGCAAATTGCGGCTACAATATGAAACAGTGCTGACTCTACCTCTCGTAAATTATAAGGAACTTGAAATTGACATATACTCATCTAAGTTAAAGATTTTGTTCCGTGGAATTGTAGACAATTAATTTTTAAATCCTTCAATTTCGTACATTATTATTTTTTAATTAATATTTTAATAAAGCGAGCTAGCCCAATATTATTTTGCATACATGTATTACAAAGGGCAGATTTGATTATAATATTCCCTGTTTTCACAGTGATGGATCCAGAAGGGGGGTCCATTCTTTGAATTTGCTAAATTAAAAAAAAGAAGAGGGTAAGGGTCCTTAGTTAATTTTTGTTGTGTTTTTTTTTTTTTAGAATATTTTATTGAAAGGCTCATGTAGTAATATATTTAGAAATTCAGTTGTGAAAACAAAATTGGATTTACGGGTTCAGAGATTTTAGATTTATTTTCCTTTCTTTCTCAAAAACTTTCAGGTACTAAGTCCATACTTTTTCCCAGTCTGATGACTCTTCCACTTTTAAAACTATACTACATCCCTACATCTGTTTATCTTTCTTTAAGCGTACGTTATAACAACTCTTTAATTTCCTCTCCACCCGTCCTTTTTTTTTAAAAAAAAAAATTCTAGATCCGAGTCTGTTTCACTTAGGTATTTACAAGCTAGTGATCTAGTAATCATGTAAAGCAGTATTAAGATTTGTCTTTAGAATAACAATAGTATCCTAAAATAAAAAAAAATTAAAAACGAAAATAGTGTATAGCTTTAGAATGAAAACAGGCGATTAAAAGGGGTAAACTTGGCGATAATAGAAATACATGAAGAGCTCTGTTGATAATTTAATGATATCATCGAGTAAAGTTTAAGTGATTCATCTTGAAAAAAAAAATCAATAATTTGAAAGAGCACCATCTAAAATAATTACAGTCTTTATGACGTCACAATTGACGTAATTACTTTTCACGTCATGTTCAAAGAGAAATGTAACTTATTTATATGTTTTTCGAGTTTTGAATTCAGATAATATAAATTGAAGATCATGCCTCTCCACAAACATCGTTTCAAACGAACTACTGGCTATTTTTTTAATGTATAGTGTATAATTTTTATATAACTATTGTTATATAAACCAAATATTACCGAATGATTAACAAAACTGGTGAATCTTTGCGACATTAAAATTTAAATGTAAAGACATATTTCATATTGGCCACACGTATGAACAACGATTATATTAAGCGTGTAGATTCGTATCAGCAATATTTATACACATGGTAAGTATGAAAGTTGTTCTTGACTGTGG